CCTATTGATTAAAAACACAGAGTCTGGTGTTAGTCATTTAGTCGGTGAAATGATGCAATGAGGGGAGAAATTTCTCCTCTGACTTTTGCATTAACCTTTTATTGACCGCTTGCATACCCGTAATTAACACACACTTTAGCTAAAGTGGTTAATTTTAGCGTGGTGACCGGCGTCCACTAATGTAGCCGTAATCCAGGACATCCGAACCTAAGTGTCACCTTGGGGGGAATCAGTGGGTGGCAGCCCCCCTGACCTGCACCTGTGGGGGGAAGGCGGACCCTCTGGGCTGTTGTCTGCTCCTGGTCCACCGATGGAACACCTGTCGGTTGCTCCCCGGCATGTCACCAGGTCATTCAAAGAAGCTCGTTCCTAAGTCACACGAGTTTGGGGGCGGCACACAGGGTTCTTTGGGTTGAAATAACGTGAGTTTGGGAGGGAGAGGGGTGAAATATGTAGTCTTTTCCTTTGTCCCCTTCAAAGCCTTCATGAAAGCAACAGGGTTTCCTGAGTCTGTTCAAGTTCGTTTGCTAACCCCAGGCATTAAAAAGAAGGTTTTTCTTCTTCGGGATAAGAGACGAGAGAACAAAGTGGAAAGGGGAACGGCAGTGACCGTCACTTTCTTACTGGTTAGCTGGGTCCAGAGTGCTCTGCTGTCCTTGGGAACACTGGAGGGGAAAATTTAACTTCCCTCAGAAAGGTCACGCAGCTCCCGTCATGAAAACTGGCTCGTTCTCATGCAAAGACCCGTGGGGACGACGCCCCCTCTCCCTTCTTTTCTGCATAGAAATCTGTCCCAAGTGGAAACGTGGTTTGAACCAGAAAAGAAAGCTAGGGTTCCGTGCTTTTCTACCCCGATGAGCTCCGCGCACACGGCCCTCTGCCAGCGGCTCGGTTTGGCGGGAGGGCCGGCAGCGGCCACCTGGCAGGCAGGGCCCCGCTGCCCTGGATGTGGTCGAAGGCGGGAAGCCACTGCGGGGGGCGTGGCCGGCCTGTCAGCCAGGACTCCGGGTGGCAGGCCACACCAGCACGTGACCCTGGAAAGGCCCAGGCCCCCCTGGTGGCTTGGTGCCACTGCTCCATCTCCCTGGGGCCCAGGCCTGGGTTGCAGGGGACCGAATGACGTCGGCAGCTCCGGATGGCGCCGCCACATCCTTCACAGACCAGGAGGTCAGAAAGTCTTTTCCCTGGCTCCACACCAGGCCTCCCGTTGTCAGTCTGCTCCCCTGCCCGCAGTTGGGCCAGGAGCCTTCCCCAGACCCACTCCCTGTGGCCGGGAGGAGGGTGTGTACTAATTAGGGTTAACCAATCACCGCCGTCCCCTGACTCTGGAGGCGGGGCCTATCCCACTCAAACCACCAAGGTGGGGAAGGCTGGATTCGCGGCAGAATTTGAATCCTCTTTGTGGGAATGGTGGGAAGAGACAGAAGACAACAAATGTCCACCCCTCAGTTTTCTAAAGCATTTCCTAAGGGGACGTGGGGCCCCTTTATGTTGCCAGGACCTGTAGAGTGTATGTGCTGAGAAGCAATCCAACCTTATTTCCTATCAGGGCCACTCAGCAAGTCCGACAACGGCACCTCGTATTGATCCCAGGGCTTCGGGAACAACTGCTAAGTCCTTCTGAATCTGAGCGTCCCAACCCGTCCCTGCAAACTTGTAGCAGCCTGAACACGGAAGCCTCCGCATCCCAGGAGGCCGCTCTGTGATGGGGTTCAGCTACACTGTAGCTGCTACGGGCTCAGCTCCGTGCAAGCCAGAAAGCAGAGCTGCTTCTGTATATCCAGTGCGTCCCCTAAAATGAGCCTGTCCAGAGGGAGGGGGTGGTCACAGGAGAAACAGGCAGCTGTCTGGTTGGCGTGGCTCATCGTCACAGGTACTCGGTAGAAGTAATAATGGCAGTAATCATAGTTCATAATTACTGAGTGCTTAGTATGTGCCAGTGTTCTCAGCACTTCCCACATGTTACTGAATTAATTTGTTTAACCACAACCACTCCGTTAGCAAGGTCCTATCATCCTCATCCCCACTGGACAGATGGGAAACAGAGGCTCAGCCAGGGTCAGACACTTGCCCAGGTGTCCCTTGTCCAGGGAGCAGCTCTCCAGGTGTGCAGAGAGCATCCTCTTAACCACACCCCTTCGATCTCCCAGCTTCCGGCCTTAGGAAACGGGACGGAAGCAAGGCAGGGTGGGTGATTGGAGCAAGGGGAGTTGGGGTAGGAATTCCCAGTCCTCTTCAGTCCCACAGTCTGGCAGGATGTTGAATCAGACAATAGATAATAATTTGAGTTGGGGTGACTGTCCTTTCTCGTAGCTACACACATCACCTCAGACATACAGGCCCTCTACCGGGCCCCATATTTGGAAATTGGCCTGGAGCTCAGGGCATTAAAGGAAGAGCTTTAGAGATCTAAACGAAGGCCCCAAAGAAACCCAGTAAAGGGGTTGTACCTCTAGCCCAGAGGGAGGCACTCAGTATACTCAGCTCCCAGCCCCTCAGGGCTGCACGAACAGCAGGGAGTTCCCCCACCAGCCAGCTTTTCAACGAGAAACTGGGCAGAAAATCAGGAGCACCTTGTTGGCAAAGAAAAGCCACTGGGCTCCGGAAGCCCGCCCACTGCACTCGTGAGCGAACGCACAAGCAAGCGCGGAAAGCAAGTTGTAGTATTTTCAACACACTCAGAGTGAGGGCGCAAAACCCACCTGACGGGTAAAAAACCCTCTATTGACAAACCTTCTGATATTCTGACACCCTGGAGGGTCAGCACTTATCGCAACCCTTTCATCCGCCAGCCAGGGTAACGAACGTGTGTGCAGACCATTGCTCCACCGCGAGACTGAGATGCTCCATTTGGGACCACTTTCACTGGCTCTCCAGTGGAGCATCACTCTCTGATTCCCAGGCAAGGACCAAAGCACCGTTTAAAAAGCTTTGCAGAGTCTTTCGTAATTAGCCTCGTCTTCCCTTGAATATTAATTTGCCCATCCCTTCCGGGTGATTCCGAGGCTGTCTGCAGAGTCGTGCGGGGACACCCTCCACGCAGGGTCACCCTTTGCACACGGGGCACCCTCAGACCCGCAGCAGCAAGCGGCACCAGCTCCACGACCCCCACTACTGACGAGGAGCCTGCACAGCGCACCCTCTGTTCACCGGCACTGCGAGGGGCTTATCAGTGCAAACAGTTTAATATTTATGTTAAGAGGATTGTCAAAAGTAGCTTCTGTTGCTTTAATTCTTGTTTTAAATAAATGATGAGAACATTTAAACACATTACTCTTCTTGGGGCCCGGAGGTCAGCTAATCTTATTATTTATGAAGTGATGCGCCGCATAACAGTACTTAGTGCGTGTTAACAGGCGCTATTATCAGGGCCTGATGCGGGCAGCTGAAGATATATTGGGACGTTCTGTGTAATGTACGGCGGATTGAGTGCCGGGGATGCCGGTGCGGCAATTAAGCACACGAGAAAATAGGTGTTAAGTTGAAGTATGTTTTCCTGTGGGGGTCCCCGCACCATTAATAATTCCCCAGAGAAGAGGATGTCTTTTAGTGAGGGACCTGCTCTGCCGTCAGCTCAGATGTAGGACCAGGGTATTTCGTTCTTGGATCTCTTCGCAGTGAGTCCCACCCAGTGGACAAACAACCGCAGGCAGGACCACTGCTGAGTTGATTTAGAGGACAATGCAGAGAGAGTGTGGGGTGGTGGCAGGGAAGAATCCCTGTGGCTCTTCCAAATAGAATACAGACAGCCCCCCAACTTAGGATGGTTTGACTTCTGATTTTTTTTTTTTTTTGGACTTTGCAGTGGTGCAGAAGCGACACATCTGGAAAATCAGTGCGTGAGATATTCAGCACTTTATGATAAAATAGGCTTTGTGTTAGGTGATCGACCCACCTGGAGGCAGGTCTCGGGGTTCTGAGCACATTTCAGGTGGGCCTGGTTGAGCGAGGAGGCTCAGCAGGTCAGGTGGATTAAATGAATTTTCGCTCACAGTGTCTTTGACTTAGGTTGGTTCTCATTGCAGGTCGAGGAGCCTGTGTGTTTCTCCTCAGTCCTCAGTGCAAGCACTCGCCACCATATTACACTCTTGTTTCTTCTTTGTTGCAATGTGTGTTTCCTTCTCTCTGCTCCTCAGTTCTCTTTCAGATAAATAAAGCTGAAGCCAATTTTGAACACCCTGGTCGGGGTGCCCCCAAGGTGCCGGGAGGCTGCCCCAACCCTTTCCTGCGAGGCTGTGCTGTGGTCGCATAGGATAATTAATTTCTCTACTATTGATGAATAATCCATTTAATAAAAAACCGTGATTTAAGTGTTTCCCTTAGGGAGTAACTCTTGCTAGCCTCTTAATTTAATTTTGTGGAAGTTTCCCCCACCTATTCATCAGCGGAAATGATTGTTAACCTCTATTTGCATACATCCTTATAAATCGGCCTCTCCTTGGAGTGCCTCCCCCCCCCCCCCAGGTCTGCAAGCTGGGACACTTGTAAATCTCTGGGATCTCCAAAGTCAATCCTGGTCTGTAATATTGTTTAATCTGTCCTCGGACGTTTTAATGCAGTAAATTTAATTTAATCTTTCCTGGTAATCTAGTAATACATTGAAATCCCACAAACATTTAAATCTGATAATGGCTTAATCACACACTTTAAGTAACAGTTCAGATAATGAAGATATAATGCACTATTTTAAAGGCAGAGTAACTGAATTTCCCTGACAGTTGGCTTCTCCAAAGCTGTTAGAGATACCAAAAAAATGTGGGAATTGGGGAGGGGGAAAAAAGACTAAAGAAATTCCAGGACCATAAAAGAACAAGTCTTGCTTATTACAAACACCTGCTTCCTGCCTCTCAAGGTCGCTCCTCCCCATGCCCACCACCACCACCAGGAAGGACTGTACTTGGAGCCCTTGGCCTTGTGCCTCCAGCTGCCTGTGGGTTCCGGTCTTCTGGGAATTCGCCCCCCACCACGGATGTAAGAATTGCCTGTTCTTACTCTTCCAGATGCCAGTCCCGCACAGCTCGGACCCTGCCCGAGGACCAGAAGCCCGAGTGCCGGCCGTACTGGGAGAAGGATGATCCCTCGATGCCCCTGCCGTTCGACCTCACGGACGTCGTCTCGGAGCTCAGAGGCCTGCTTCTGGAAGCGAAGCCCGAGAAGGAGCACAGGGCTTAGGTGGAGGCCCAGAGGGACACTTCTGGCCCCTCTCCTCCATCGCCGTGGTGGGCCTGGGCGAGGGGAGGCTGCCCCCGGCGTGCAGAAGCTGGGCTGGGGAAGGCAGCCCGTGAGCGTTATTCCGACAGTGTCTGAGAGGGGCACGGGCTGTAATCTGATTTGGTATCAAATACAGTTTGTCCCCCTATGTATCCCCCATTTGGAATAATTTTGATCGTGAGCCATTCATTCCGCTCCCAAGGCCAAGGTCGATGACAGGGGTGAACCCAGCCTGTGACAGCGCCTAACCTACTTTCTCCCTCCTTAAGCCTTTACAGAGACTCAAGAGCAAATGGCCCTAACGTCATCTGGGGGACACAGAACTCTGCCACAGCCACCCCAGTTTCTCACCATGCCGCTTAGAGGTGATGCACCCCATGCGGCAGCCTCTGGCCACGTGTGGCTTCTTACATTTAAGTTCAGCTTTAATGGTTATTAACAATTCAGCCCCTCTCGGGCACTAGGTGCATTTCCGGTGCCAGGCGGCCCTGTGTGGCCACTGGCTCCGTGATGGATGGCACAGGTACAGAACAGCTCCATGGCCACGGGAAGTCCTCACGGGTGACACCCCGCCACAAACTTCAGAGCAGGGCACTCTCTGCCCCAGCTCCCTGTGGCTGCGGTCCTCCCAGGCAAAGTAAATAAAAAAGATGAACGTCTCCTTGAAGAGTAGCCTCCTTCCCTTCTCCAAGAAAGACCTGCACAGAAGCCCACGGTGGGCATTCCGTACTCTGCACACCAGAACGGGGGCGTGCTGAACGTCAAAACACCAAGGGCATCCTCCATTTAGGAAGGTGCCCCGATCTAATGAAAGAGATGTGGCCCCGCTGACACTGCTTTGTGGGTGCAGCCAGCACCTCATTTTCCCCCCTCTAGTCCCCCGTTTGCATATAATGACAGGTGGGACTGAGGTTTGAAGAACCCTGGTCCCCCCCGGGGTGACACCGGAGCATCAGAGACGACACTAAGCAGAGGTTGAAACCTGGGCTCCAGGGCAAAATCCCCCACTAGCTTTGTGACTTTTGGCGAGTTCCTGTGCCTCAGTTTCCTCATCTGTAGAATGGGGGTGCTGGAGGCACTGGCTCCCAAGGTGAAGACCCAGTGAAATTGTCTAGCTACAGACTTACGTGAACAACTTCTGACATGGAGTTAAATATCCAACAAATATGCAAATGATTATCAGGACTCTGGCCCCATGTGCACCCCTCCCTTCCCCAGTCCTTGCACCAGTTGGGTCTGGAGATGCCAGGACATGTCTCCTGCCCTCTGTGCCCCTAGAGACCGTGAGAACAGTGTGCCCCTCCCCCAGCCCGTGGCCTTCTCCCGTAACCGTTCTCTGCAGTGGGAAGGTGAAGAGCGTTTCCGCCCTTGGAGGCACGCGGAGGACCAAGCTCTGTCCTGTCACCAGAATCTCACTGGTTCAATTCGCTCACAGGGAGTTGACCACAGAAGGGTCCCTTCATACTAAGCAGCCGGGCTTCGTCACCTGAGACTGGGCGTGTTCTCGAGCCTCCATGTCCTCACCAGTGAAGGAGGTGAAGCCTTGCCTCGCAGGGTCCGTAGGTTAAAGGGCATCTCGTAGGCGAGGAGCGCCTGGCCCAGAGAAGTCACTGCCTGGGGGCAATCCAGCCTCGTGTTTTATTTAGCTCCCACCCTGTTCGTTCTTTGTTACATTTCGTAGGGGCCAATATGTGAAAAACTAGGAGATGTCATATAAAATAAAAATGTGCGCTGAATCTCTAGGGTTCAGGAGATCTGGCAGCCCACCGCACGGCAAACAGCTCGTGTCTTCTCTCTCCTGGGTGGGGTGTGACTGCGTCATGGCCCCATGGCTCCTGGTGTCATCTGTTGTAAACCTGGCCTGTCCCCGCTTCCTGTCAGCCCTCTCCACGCCTCATTTATGCCCCTGTAGTAGAAATAAATGATGCTGTTTAGTGCTCACCCCAGTATACGTGTGTGTCATGCTGTCTTCGTGGCCTGCTTGTTCCAGTGTGTCTTGTACGTCCTAAAACATGCATCAACAACAGAAATAGTAGTGGGATGAGAGAACAAGAGAGGTTCTGCAGTTTTCTCTCTGCACACCAGTGGCGGGGTGGGCCAAGTGGGGGTAGTTCCCAAAGTTCCCTGGGTGGGTCCAGGAGACGTACTGCCAACGTTGGAGAGACCTCGACCTCCAGTGAAGCCGAGAAGGGAGGTCACGTGTCCTCGGAAAAACGGGTGGCTTTCAGCGCGCATGCGCTGGGCGTGTCTGAGGGTGGCGCATGCTCTCCAGGGAGGTGTCGAGGCGCCGGAGGAGGAGAGGCGACCGGAAGGGGCTGCTGGGGGACCCCGGCAGTCAGCTCAGTGCCGGTGGGGCCAAGGACAGGCCCCTTCTCCCTGGTAAGTTAGGGAAGGATGTACTTGGGAGGGTGGGCAGGGGGTGTAGCCTTGTCCCCGCCAGCCCCCGGTCCCTGTCTGCTTCCTCTCTCGCTTTCCCCAACCCCAGCCATGGTAAGAACGTGATCTGAAGAAAGCGCCCCCTTCCGCCCTTCCCCAGCTCAGCGGTGCCGTGAGCCCTGGGCACCCAAGGACAAAGTCCCTGTCTCCCTGGGGCTCCTCTGTGCCAGCCCCACGCCAGGTGCTGGGCGTACCAAAGGGGAACTTACCCTGCAGTGGGGGGACAGACACCTGGCCAGCAAGTACAAAAGATGCTGTAAGTCCAGGGAGGGAGCCCCCCACCACCACTAAATGACGGGGTGGAGCGTAGCTGGTGACTGACCGAGGGTGGTTTGGGCTAGAGGTCAGGGAAAGGTGGTGACAGGAAGAACTTTCCAGGGACGGGAACAGCGGGGACAAGGACCCGAGGCAGGAAGCACTCGGGGTGGGCTGCTCGGGGAAGAGTTTGGGCCTCTGTGTCTGAAGCAAAGACCCAAGAGCACAGTGGGGGAGATGCCAGCGGTGCAGAGCCCGGAGCAGCCCTTGGACTTGATTCCCGTACTCAAGAGAAGCACGGAGGGCTCCCTGCAGGGAGAGGCAGGGCAGCCGAGATGATGTTCTCGGCTTCCAAGGGATCGCTCTGGCTGTAGCTGGATTCCCAGGGCTCTCTGACAGCAGGCAGCTTGGTCCAAAAGCACAGCATGGCCCTCGTCCTGGAGCAAGGTCTCGGAACGGGCACAGAGTCCCGTGAGCTCCCGCACCCCTGCTGCCGCACCCACTGCGATTTTTTCTGCAGCCACCCACCCAGGGGGCTTGGCTGGACGGAAGAGTACCCGGTCATGGCATCTCTTGGGACACAATTTTAGTAAAAGCTTCTAACCCCATCGCTCATGGAATCGAGGGATGCTAGCAATGTGGCTGCACAGGCCCTTACTGACGGATGCCCCCCATTCAGGAGAAGGCTTTGCATGTGTTTCCAGGGGCAGGATTTTCAAATGCAACTTTCATTTTGTGTGTTTGCCTGCTCTAGTTAGGGCTGATTTCACCACTGGGCAAATTGCATACATGCGAACCCCTGCCACGCTAAATACTGTTTATTTTGGAGATCTGTCAGAGGCGGGCGCAGGGGAGGCAGGAGTCTTGTTTGAAAAGGCAATTCCCCAAACAGATTGCGGAGGAGAGGAGCTGTGCGGATTCAAATGCGCCAAAGTGGTAATGCCGTTGATGCAGTTCGCCTTTGTTACTTGGTGATTAAGTGGTGTTTTTAATTATGTTTCACTGGGAGCCGCGGGTATCGGTGGTGGTAAAATCGATTTGACAACCATACAGGGGAGGGGAGGCCCGGGAGTGCTGTCATGGTTTCGGCTGCAGGAGGAGCAGGCGGCCTTGTGGGGCTGGGTGGGGAAGGGCAGAGGCAGGGGAGGCCACCGGTAATGACTTCCTGCGGGCCAGCCAGGCCACCTGTGGCCGCTGCCGTCTCTGGGAGGCAGGTGTCCATGCTTTCCGGAAGAGGGATACACCTGGCTCTCGCTCGCCTGAGAGACCCACGGAGGTCCCCAGGCTGGCTGGGGACTCCCAGAAAGCCTCCGAAAGGTCGGTTTCTCATTTCTCGCTCATGAACAAGGGAAAGCGTGAGTGCCCCCTGCACCATCCTTCAGCCTGGAGGCCCCTTCTCACGCACCAGCCCCAATGCCTGCTCGAGGCAAGTTGTCCTTGCAGGCACTGCACCCAGACCCCCCGTCCCAGTGGAAGACCAGGCCCCTCTGTACCCCGTGTGCCGTCTCTGCTGCTGTTCTCAATCAGGTTTCCGAGTCTTCTGATGCTTGGAGGGCCCTAGAGGCTCCTGGCTGCAGAGCCTGGTGACACCGATGCTCCCGATGCTTTCACCCCTGTTTTCTTGTCTGCGATACAGGAATAACAACAACAGGCCCGTCACCTAGGTTTGTACGGAGACTCAGAACAGGCCTCCAGCAGTGCCTGGCACACACAGGGCTTCCGCACTAGCTCTCCAGATGGGTACCCCAGTTTCTTGGGACAACTGTGGTAGCTCCGTGACTCAGGCAGCTGCCTGCATGCTCTGCGCTCTGTTCATGTAACGGGGAGGATGATATGACGCCTGGCTCCCTGGACTGTCGGTCACCGCCATCATGCATGTTAAGTGGTTCACATCCCGTCTCGTAGGAAGAACCAGAGCAATGCGTCACCACCCCACACCACCCCGTTTGCTCCTCACAGCTTCCTCTTCTTCCTATGCAGGCAGCATGGACCTTCTTATACATGAGATACAGTGAAAAATGATTCTTTAGTATCATTTTAGTATCAGGGCTGTGGCAGGATTAGGTCACCCATTGCAATTTAGATTTGCTGAAAAAATTCTCGCCATCGCCGTCTAATGGATGATCCGGGGACAGCGATTGTTTCATTGATGGGGAATGTCTGAGTACCGGGGTCGGTCTGTTTCAAGGGGAGGGAAGCATTAATTCACTTCCTGAGTGAGGTCGGGGATCCTTTTCCGATGGCTCGGTTCGCGACTTCGCTTGCATTTGCTCTTCATCAGTCCTGCAAGAGTCGAGGTAAAATAGTTCCTCTGCACATGTGTGTCAGGCTAAATGGATCACAGCAGATGCAGATCTGTTTGCCTGTCTGCACTTGCCTTTAGACAAAATTCATCAATTTTACGAAAGCCGCTGCCTGAACCTGGCACCAATACAAATGAGCGCTCGGGCCTGTGGCCCAGCCGGCCGTCGTGTTTAATCTGGTAAGTGCAGTAGCGTCCCGCTGAGAGGTGGGACGCGCTGGCAGAGGACAGCACCGGGCCCCCAGACAGGGACGAAGAGGTCAAGGCCGTTTCACGGGACCAGGGTTCTGGCCCCTGGGTGCTCAGAGCCCTGCTTGGTCAGTGACTGTCCACAGGAAGTGTCTCTGCTGTCTTGCAAGGTATTAAAGATGAAATAAACACCACCCTAGGGGTGCCCATTTCAGAGGTACCCCGCTTGCCCTTCCCAACTTCTGAGACCAGGGGGGTTGCATAGTGGAGGACACCCTGCTCCCCAGGGAAAACTCCCCCAAATTGCGTGGCCCCCACGTTCCCAGGTGGAGACCCCACGTGGGAGCACTTTGGTGCACAATAAAGCCCCATGCACATCCACGGAAGGAGGAGGATTTGTTTTGTGAACCAGTTTAATTTGGGTGGGTGGTGGAAGACTTGGCGAACACATCTCTTGCTTCGCAGCAGGCAAGGCCAGTCGGACAGGGGAGTGAGCGGCACATGGCTCACGTTCAAGGCCACCAGTGGATCTGAAGACAGGGAAACAAGAACCCCTCTTGCATGAGAACAGCCTCAAAGACGAATGCTACAACCTCTTTGTACAGTATGGCTGACCCCGTGTGCCCTCGAAACACGCCAGACCTGAGTAGAGGGGTGCTCGGCATTTGCTAAAATAAACTTGGGGCCTCAAAAGCACCGGGGTGAAGAGAGGGTGCCTTCATTTGTTTCTTTGCCAAACTTCTGTCCCCAACTGAAGGCTCTTTTCGTCCTTTCAGATAAGGAATTGAGTCTTTCACTTGGGGCCAAATACAGCCAACCTACCATCCCCGGGGCTGCAAAGGGGCTGAGTCCATTTCCCGGAGTGGCCAAAGCTACTGCTCGTGTCTCATCCAGCACAGAACACTGGACCTCTGGCCACCCTCCTGCCCCACCCCCCTGCCCTCCGGCCTCCAAGTCTTGAGACAGAGATTTCCAGTTGATTACGCCTTGATTGGAGTCAGGAGAGGAGCGAGCCAGGTACACAGGATTCTCATTGTCCTCCCCTCGGCTGCTGCCCACCGGGGTCGGGCTGAGAGGGCTCTCGGGGAACACGGAACAATCAAGGCCTGTTTATCACGGACGCTAAGTTTTCTTTTCTCAAAATCAAAACAGAGTTTTAGTAGGCAGCATATTTCATACATGTCTCTTGATCAATAGAATGATCTGTCAGAAGCCATTAAAGCCCCCATTAGCCTGAATGCATTCAAAGCTAAACTATTGGATCATTTAAGGGCCGCGGTGATTGTTTTTAATATACTGTACATTGATTTCTCCCTGCAAGCAGGAACATAAGTTTGAGACTAACTGTGTATGACTGAGCCTTCATTTGCTGTCTCCAGCGCTCTGTGAGAAGCGTGGTTTCACTTCGACCAGAAATGTCTGTGTATGGTTTTTAAAGAGATGCAGACCCTGGTCGACTTCCCAAAGTTTAGGCTGGATCGGGTTGTTATTTTTTTTTTTTCCCTGAGCTTTCTCCCCTTTCTCTGTGCCCGTTAAGTGAGCTGTGCGTGCAGAACAGGAGAGGCATCGCAGCCAAGGAGCTCAAGTGAAAGGCCTTGGGGGAATTTTTCTGAAAGCATGAAGCCCCAGCTGAGGCCACAATCGAAGTGAGTTTGGCAGCCTCGGGCCAACACACCCCTGAGCCCAGCGCAGCGCAGCGCAGCGCAGCGCAGCAGCGGTGGTGTGGCTGAGCCGGGCACCTTTGCCGAGCAGAAGGCAGGGAAGTTA